TGTCACTTGAGTCAGCAGATGTAATTCTTCATACACATAGGAAGTAGCTCTACTACTTGGGAGAAAATGGAAGAAAATACCATTTTCACAATTACTTTTCACAGTAGAACCCTGCTTTAAATCAAACAAGCAAGTACTGAGTCAGCTCAGTGGCACAGCACAACAATTTGATCTGCTACGTGGCAGGCTTTAGTTTGGAGATACTAAACAATTCCTCATCTTGGGCTCCAGGATTATAAGTATGAGGAAAGATGATGCAATGCACTCAGCTGCTGAGGAGAGAAGGAGCAATCATATAACTCTTGAGAATTCTTTTGCGTAGAAAAATTTATCATGTGCCCTCAGGTGTAAGGGCCATGGCTGGAACATAACTTAATAAAGACAAACCAAGGTGTTGCAAGAGAATTAACGAGAATTTTAGTATTTGAACCTCAGATAAATTATTGTTGCTTAGTTGATGAAGGGGAAACTAATAATAACATTATGACTTTGTATGCAGCCAGTAGGATAGCAAATGTACCCAAGGTTTTTTATGCACCATATAACATTTTACTTTGTTTAATGCAGAGATGATCTTATTAGTCAAGTATAATCAATCCTCCCATCTTTTTACCTCTATAATACTCCTTCTTCATCTTCTTTCTATCTAATTTCTGAGAACATCTGCATTTAGCTTATCAGAGGCTCAATTGTCCTTTGGCAGCTTAAATAGTGTGCATTTTCACATACAACACACTTTCCTTGTTATAACTATGGAAGAGTCAACTGAGATACAAATTATTTTACTTGTGATATCATTGGTTTGATTTCAGTGTACAGCTATAGTTGATGAGACACCTGAAAATACTGGGAATCTGGTATTCCTCACTCACAGAATGCAAACATGAGCACCAGGAATTTATAATACCTAGGAGTATATGCAATAAATAAGATACAAGACATTTTTTTTCAAAAGATGCATATTTTGTCACTCAGTCATGTATCTGAGGATGTAATTTGATATTAACTATGCAAACCTGGTGATAAAATCTGATAGAGACCCCCATGGTAAATCTAGGTATTTGCTGGGTCCATTTCCCATTCTGTTTTAATCCTAGTGATATTTTGGGGGGGTTGTTTTTAGCCTCCAAGTAGTTCTGATCCTTGAGCTTTGTTTTCTTCTACCCTGCAGGGGACAGCATTGGGTAAAGAACAGTGGAAATCATATGATAAGAAAAAAAAGCATTTGCTTTCAATTATCAAATTTTACTTGGCTAATTGAGATACAAAAGAGTATTCAGTTTTCAGGTTAGTGCCACAATTTCTTTCTCCCTTCAGAAGCTTCTGAATTATTTATGACAAATAATTTGGCTGCCTACTTTACCCTCACCTCAACAGTAAAAAGGTTTCCCTTATTACTAACCACTAGCATTACTGAAGGGGAAAGAAATGATGTATAGTAATGCTATAACTTAAGGGTTTCTTCTCTTGACAGCTGTGTAAGCCTCAGTGTTTCTCAGCACCTATGTTGAAGCCCGTCCCTGCTGTCAACATAGGCATCAGTTTTCATGGGGGTGGGTAAGTGGGGGAATCAGTTTTCTACCATTAGCTGTCATTAAAATATATATAAACATGCACACACTCACCTACTGTATTTGTAAATGGGCATGTAAATTCAAGTAGAAATAGTTCTTTTTTCTTTTACCATGACATTGTTGCAACGACAACAACAAAAATGTAGTTTACCCTCAGTGGCTATACGTTTAAAAGTGATATTGTAAAAAGGTATATGGTAGCTTTGTTTATTTTGGACAGATGCAAAGAAGTATCTCTGAACTTCTGCCAGTGATCAAAGGAACTGATGATGTAGAACAGATTCATGGGCCATGTCCTATCAGCCTGCACTTTACCCATCATCCATCATCCAAACCCTAAGCCTTTTTCTGAGTGATGATTGCACCCTAAACACATAAAATTAATCACCACTCTAGCCCAGCCAGGTGTCTTGCCTCCAGAAATTATCTCATTGCAGCAAAAGAACTGCTAAAATCTGATATCTGTACTGCAATTTAATTTAAAGAATACTGCATAGTAATGGCAAGATCCATTTACATATTTGAAAAGTTTCTAGTTTCGAGCCATCAATATAAATTCTTGGAGAAATACGTCATTGGAAAAACAACTGGTTGATTATTAAATCAGGACAACTAAATACTTAGTAGGTTATCCAGTTTTTAATAGATTATTTCTATCATGATCTTAGTTTAATGTAGGCTTTAAAATTCAGTTTACTAACCTGGAGAGTGTGTGTATGCATCTGAGAAAATATAAATTCAACTGCTAGACTCAAACCCTAGTGAAGTGCAAGTTATGGGAGACTAACATTTACATAAATATTATCTACTATGCTCTTCAGGAAGCTCATCACCATTTTGTAGGATGGTGTATTTCTTTTTCCTTTTACCTTGCCAGCAAGAAAGTATCAGAAAATTAAACTAGTTTATGCATCCATTGTTTTGAA